GCTATGTTGGTTCTTTTATGTTATTTTATTGGTATTTTAATATTGTAGTTGTCACGTTTTTAGATGTTTTGAATTGTATCTTATGTTAAGCACTTTGTTGGCCTCGGCTGTGTTCAAGTGCTTTATACAGTGCCTTGCGAAAGTATTCGGCCCCCTTGAACTTTGCGACCTTTTGCCACATTTCAGGCTTCAAACATAAAGATATAAAACTGTAATTTTTTGTGAAGAATCAACAACAAGTGGGACACAATCATGAAGTGGAACGAAATTTATTGGATATTTCAAACTTTTTTAACAAATAAAAAACTGAATAATTGGGCGTGCAAAATTATTCAGCCCCTTTACTTTCAGTGCAGCAAACTCTCTCCAGAAGTTCAGTGAGGATCTCTGAATGATCCAATGTTGACCTAAATGACTAATGATGATAAATAGAATCCACCTGTGTGTAATCAAGTCTCCGTATAAATGCACCTGCACTGTGATAGTCTCAGAGGTCCGTTTAAAGCGCAGAGAGCATCATGAAGAACAAGGAACACACCAGGCAGGTCCGAGATACTGTTGTGGAGAAGTTTAAAGCCGGATTTGGATACAAAAAGATTTCCCAAGCTTTAAACATCCCAAGGAGCACTGTGCAAGTGATAATATTGAAATGGAAGGAGTATCAGACCACTGCAAATCTACCAAGACCTGGCCGTCCCTCTAAACTTTCAGCTCATACAAGGAGAAGACTGATCAGAGATGCAGCCAAGAGGCCCATGATCACTCTGGATGAACTGCAGAGATCTACAGCTGAGGTGGGAGACTCTGTCCATAGGACAACAATCAGTCGTATACTGCACAAATCTGGCCTTTATGGAAGAGTGGCAAGAAGAAAGCCATTTCTTAAAGATATCCATAAAAAGTGTTGTTTAAAGTTTGCCACAAGCCACCTGGGAGACGCACCAAACATGTGGAAGAAGGTGCTCTGGTCAGCTGAAACCAAAATCGAACTTTTTGGCAACAATGCAAAACGTTATGTTTGGCGTAAAAGCAACACAGCTCATCACCCTGAACACTCCATCCCCACTGTCAAACATGGTGGTGGCAGCATCATGGTTTGGGGCTGCTTTTCTTCAGCAGGGACAGGGAAGATGGTTCAAATTGATGGGAAGATGGATGGAGCCAAATACAGGACCATTCTGGAAGGAAACCTGATGGAGTCTGCAAAAGACCTGAGACTGGGACGGAGATTTGTCTTCCAACAAGACAATGATCCAAAACATAAAGCAAAATCTACAATGGAATGGTTCACAAATAAACATATCCAGGTGTTAGAATGGCCAAGTCAAAGTCCAGACCTGAATCCAATCGAGAATCTGTGGAAAGAACTGACAACTGCTGTTCACAAACGCTCTCCATCCAACCTCACTGAGCTCGAGCTGTTTTGCAAGGAGGCATGGGCAAAAATTTCAGTCTCTCGATGTGCAAAACTGATAGAGACATACCCCAAGTGACTTACAGCTGTAATCGCAGCAAAAGGTGGCGCTACAACGTATTAACTTAAGGGGGTTGAATAATTTTGCACGCCCAATTTTTCAGTTTTTTATTTGTTAAAAAAGTTTGAAATATCCAATAAATTTCGTTCCACTTCATGATTGTGTCCCACTTGTTGTTGATTCTTCACAAAAAATTACAGTTTTATATCTTTATGTTTGAAGCCTGAAATGTGGCAAAAGGTCACAAAGTTCAAGGGGGCCGAATACTTTCGCAAGGCACTGTACATCCTCTGCTGTGCCTTCTTGGTGATGGTCGTGATGTTGGACGTCCACTTCAGGTCCTGGGAGATAGTGGAGCCCAGGAACTTGTAGGACTTTACTGCTGATACAGTGCTTCCAAGTATGCTGAGGGGGGGTAAGATGGGGGGGCTCTTCCTGAACTTCACTGTCATCTCCACTGTTTTGAGCATGTTCAGCTCCAGGTTGTTGCAGCTACACCACAAGACCAGCTGCTCAACCTCCCATCTGTAGGCTGACTCGTCATCGTCTTTGATGCGACCAGTTACCGTTGTATCATCAGCAAACTTTAGGAGCTTGACAAAGGGATCCTTCGCGATGCAGTCGTTGGTGTAGAGTGAAAACAGCAGAGAGGAGATATCTGTAATTCTTGCAGGTGTAGACAAAGTTGAGAATATCTTAAACATACTTAGGTCATTCAGAATGTTGGCCGAAGAAAAATCAGTGCCCATACATTTGGGTGCTTACTAGTTAGTACCAGCAGGCTGTATGATACCCTGTCCGGTGTAATGTTGATGGATGGATGAGGAATCTAGGATGCTGAGAATGGCTCTATCCTGCCAACTAGGATGGTTAGACAATGGAAGTTTATGGCGAAAAGAGTGAGACAGCTCATTGTTAGATGCGCCCAGTATCTACTGAGGAAACAGCTCATCTTCAAACTTCTGCAGGGAATGCTGCAACCAGGCACAATGATAGTTGGAGTGCATTGAGGGAATGTGAAGAAAGTCAATGGTGTGGTTGCTTATGAGGTGGGAGGCAATGAAGTCTGGACCACACACTCACGTCTGCTGAGAGACTTCTTGGAGGCAATGGCAGTGGATGAGATGCCTTAGTAGGGAGTGGAGCTGCTTCAAGTGCTAGTAACTGGTAACCATCCTCTGTGATCATGACTGACTGCAGTAATCCATGATTTTATATGTGGCTCAATAAGGGTTCAATATCTGTCATAGAACTTGTATAACAAAAATCATTGCTGAGCAAATCTGAATTCATTACAAGTTTAGGCTATGGTGCTGAAAATGGAATAAGGTACTGTATATATTTATGCTTATTTCTCAAATACAGAACAAAATACACACAGCATATAAACCATTAACAATAATAATTTATTGCATGTTCGTCATGGAATTGTCTGAAAAGATGAAGCCAAGACTAAGGTTGCAGATTATATTTATGAATATTTTAAGAACTGTAACTGTTATGGAATTATTATGAAATAGCATATTAAGCATACTCATTCATTGGTACTTTATAATAAATATTAGTTCATAAGATTGTATATTACATTGCATTAAATGCTGTCATCTCCATAGACTATGCCAATAACACAGTATACAGTGGAAAAATGTTATAGGGGTACATTAAACCTCTTCAATAAAATGAATATTGGTTTCTACATGAGTCTGGTTAACAAGTTGTGTAAAAATCAAAACGGCACTAGAATGCCTTTACCACCATATTTTGTAAGTTTTCAGAATGACTTTGATGCCCCTTTCTCCATCATATTCTTCTTTGTATTCTTCTCTGGTTTCAGTAAGATAATATAACATTTTGGAATAAAAGTACAAATGAGCAGTCCAAAACTGGAGGCCAGAATAGCAAATATCTCTACAGCAACACTGAACTTCCCAGGAGAGCTGACATATGCTGGCATAAAAGTGATCCAAACTGCACAGAATATCAGCATGCTGAAGGTGATCAGTTTGGCCTCATTGAAGTTATCAGGCAGTTTTCGAGCCAGAAAAGCCAGAATAAAACATAAGATGGCCAGAAGGCCTATGTACCCAAGTACAGCCCAAAAGCCTACAGCTGATCCCAGAGCACACTCTAAGATGATTTTGTCCTTGAACTGGGTAAAATTCTTAAATGGAAAAGGAGGAGAAATAGTTAACCAGAGGATACATATAACAACCTGGATGAAAGTGAAAGCCACAGCACTGAGTCTCTGCTGTGCAGGCCCAAACCATTTCATCACATTACTGCCTGGAAGTGTAGCCCTGAAGGCCATTAACACCACTATAGTTTTCCCCAGAACACAAGAGATACAGAGGACAAAGGTAATGCCGAATGCTGTGTGTCGCAGCATGCAGGACCACTCAGAGGGCCGGCCGATGAAGGTCAGAGAACACAGGAAACACAGAGTCAAGGAGAAGAGCAGCAGGAAGCTCAGCTCAG